TTCACCTCTTCCCCTGTTAGATTCCCGTTGTGCTGTGACATCACCCTTATACGCTGTGTAAAGCATACTTTTTAATTGATTTTGGAACTGCTGCATCCTTTCCGACTTGCCGTAATTCGGTAACATTTCAGGCACTTTCTGCTTATACCGGGGGTCTAGTAGTGTGGACACCCAGTACAGGTCGTTCTCCTTCAGCCTTTTTATATGAGGGTCCCTCAACAGGCACGACAGCATGAAAGACCCCATTTGCACAAGGTTGGATGCCGAGCTACTCATGTCCTGTTCCTTCCTCGTCCTCAGTGATCTCACTGAAGGTATGTTCTTCCCCCCAGCCACGTACAACACCACGGGTACCAGATAGGTGACAACGAGCACCCTGGGATGCCTGTTGTGGTTGGTCTTCCTCTCCTCCTCAAAGCCACATTCCTCCTCTGACTCCTCTTCCAGCATTGCCGCAGGTCCAGCAAGCGATGCTGATAAGGATGTTTCTGGTGGTGATGGTGACCACAACTCTTCCTCTTCCTCTTCACGCTCATCTACAGCCTGATCCAGCACTCTTCGCAGGACACGCTCCAGGAAGAAAACAAATGGTATGATGTCGCTGATGGTGCCTTCGGTGCGACTGACTAGGTTTGTCACCTCCTCAAAAGGACGCATGAGCCTACAGGCATTGCGCATGAGCGTCCAGTAACGTGGCAAAATAAATCCCAGCTCCGCAGAGGCTGTCCTAGCACCCCGGTCATACAAATACTCGTTAACGGATTTTTCTTGTTGGAGCAGGCGGTCGAACATTAGGAGTGTTGAATTCCAACGTGTCGGGCTGTCGCAAATCAAGCGCCTCACTGGCATGTTTTTCGCCGCTGGATATCTGAAAAGTGCGCCATGGCCGTGTAGGAACACCTGAAATGGCCACACATCTTCCTGGCCTGCTTCAGGACGTCCTGTAAGCCTGGGTACTTATGCACAAAGCATTGTACAATCAGATTACACACATGTGCCATGCACGGCATGTGTCAACTTGCTCAAATGCAATGCCGCCAACAAATTTCTTCCGTTGTCACAAACCACTTTGCCGATCTCCAGTTGGTGCGGAGTCAGCCACTGATCCACCTGTGTGTTCAGGGCGGACAGGAGTGCTGGTCCGGTGTGACTCTCTGCTTTCAGGCAAGTCAACCCCAAGACGGCGTGACACTGCTGTATCCGGGATGTGGAATAGTACCTGGGGAGCTGGGGGGGTGCCGTTGATGTGGAGCAAGACGCAGCAGTAGAAGAGGATGGAGGTTATGGAAGAGGATGGAGTAGGAGGAGTAGAGGAGGTGGCAGCAGGCCTGCCTGCAAGTTGTGGCGGTGTCACCAACTCCTCTGCAGAGCCACGCATTCCATGCTTGGCAGCCGTCAGCAGGTTTACCCAATGCGCAGTGTAGGTGATATACCTGCCCTGACCATGCTTTGCAGACCAGGTATCAGTGGTCAGATGGACCCTTGCCCCAACACTGTGTGCCAGACATGCCATTACTTCCTTTTGCACAATCGAGTACAGGTTGGGGATTGCCTTTTGTGCAAAGAAATTTCGGCCGGGTACCTTCCACTGCGGTGTCCCAATAGCTACAAATTTTTTGAACACCTCAGACTCCACCAGCTTGTATGGTAAAAGCTGGCGGGCTAAGAGTTCAGTCAAGCCAGCTGTCAGACGCCGGGCAAGGGGGTGACTTTGTGACATTGGCTTCTTACACTCAAACATGTCCTTGACAGACAGCTGACTCGCCAGGAACTGCTAAAGGTGAGAGACGGAGGGGCGGATGGTTGAGAGGGGGCAAGGAGGACAGCAGTGGTTAACGTGGCTGAAGATGCTGGACCAGGAGGAGGATGGCGGCTTTGAGTTTGTGTGCTGCTTGTACTCATGTGTTGATCCCATAGGCGTTTGTGATGTGCGATCATGTGCCTTTGCAAAGAGGTGGGAGGGTCTGGGAGGGAGGGTCTGCTGCTGATTGGCTGGAATGTGTCTGCTGACTGTGAGGTACAGGGTAAAAGTTTACTCAATGATGATGAATAGGGGGCGGACCGAACAGCACATATGTTCGCCATCCGTGGCAAATGCGAACAAGCGATGTTCGCCAGGAACTATTCGCTGGCGAACCATTCGGGACATCACTAGTTATCATTAAAAAAATGTTTTACCCCTCTCCTACATACCTTATTTCAGGGAGAAATACCACACTTTCTAAGCACTGTCCCCTAGCACTTACATGTCCACTTGTCTACTTACCCTCTTACTAGCAGGCTCCTAGTATATAGTCTGGGACAAAGAAAAGGTGGATGTAGTGAGTGTAGAAGAAAGGGAACACGCCACAGTGTTAGAGAGACCAAAGTCAGCGTTACCTTAACTAATTTCATTGTCAGCCAGTCTACACAAGTTTTGTTCCCATACAAGCAATAGTATGTGAAGGATAGTTAGGGCTGCCACCTTTCTTGGAAAAATACCGGCCTTACAATTTTGCATAATTAACTATGTATGTGTGTAAATCACAAGGAGTGACATAAGAGAAAATTCTGTACAATCACCAAAAAACTACTTACATTTATTCTGCTGAATAAAAGATGGATTGTTCCCAGTATCTCCCTGTCTCCCCGTCTCTTAGTGTCCCCTAGTCTCTCCTAGTCTTCCAGTGTCCTCATGTCTCCCAGTATCCTCTAGTGTCTGTGTCCCCTATATCACAGTGCTTCACTGCCCTATGTGCCCCAGTGTCCCCATGTCTCAGTCTCCCCTATGTATCACAGTGTCACTATGTATCACAATGTCTCAGTGCCCCATGTCTCCCAGTGTCCCCATGTTTCCCAGTGTCACTTGGACACTAGGGGACACTTAAGAGACATGGGAAAACTGTGAGACATTGAGACACTAGGGGACATTGGGAGACACTGAGACATAGGGATACTGGGAGACATGGCGACACAGACACTAGGGACACAGTGTCTCAGTGTGCCCATGTCTCCCAATGTCTCACAGCATCCCCTAGTGCAGGGGTAGGCAACCTTTTATCAGCACTGTGCCAAATTAAGATTGTGATGTCACGTAGCCTGCCGGTCCTATTCTATTAAATTGTATGTTCCTGTATTCTGTTATTGGTACTGCAGTTGCTTTGTATCATTGTATTTGTGCGTATATGAACGGTTATATTGTATATGTTCATTAGTAGTTTGTGGTATCGTGTATGATACCTCTGAATGTGGACTGCGTATGGGGGCTGCTTGTGGAATTATGTGTGTGGATGGATGTGACACATTGTGTGTTTGGGAGTTTGTGTATGTGTGAGGCTGCTTGAGGTATTGCATGTGAGATTCTGCTTGTGGGGTCGTGTGTGTGTATGTGGATTGTTAGTGGTATTGTGTTTGTGCCGATTGTGCATGTCTTTGTGTGTGAGCTGTTCGTATTATTTGTATGAGGGGAGGGTTATTCTGCAACTCTGTGTATATATAGCAGTGTGGGTGACTTCCCTGGGGTTCAGTGAGGACCGGGCTGGCCAGGTACAGGTCAAGGGCAGGAGCTGCAACAGCTGCTATGGGATGCTCTTCTCCTGTGCGGATTCCTGTTCACAAGTGCTGGGAGGAAGTTATCTGAGATCACTTCCTCTACGTGCTACAATGCATAAATTAAGGATTGTCCCTCACCACCTGCAATCACTGCTCAGCTTGCACTAGCAGATATCTGAAGTTCCACTGGGACTCATGATAGGCTAGAGTCTGTTTGGCTCTAACAGTCTTGAGTGCCGTGCAAAGACACCTCGAGTGCCATGCATGGCACATGTGCCATAGGTTGCCTACCCCTGCCCTTGTGTCTCAGTATCCCCAGGTCTCTCAGTGCTCCGAAGTCACCCAGTGTCCCCTAGTGTCTCCCAGTGTCACCATGTCTCCCTGCAGCTTTCCCCCCATCCCTCACTTACCTGTCTCTGCAGGCTGGGAGCTGCTCTCTGGACTCTCTGTGCCGTGTAGCTGCTCCCCCGTGGATCAGTGAGTAGAGAGACTCAGGGAGGGAGATGCTGTAACTTCCTATCCCTGTCTCTCTCCACACACAGTGACCCATACACACACACACGGCACCGGTATTGCAGAGTAATCTTTGTTTATACTAAGAAATATACCGGCATTTGTATTGCCGGTTTTAATGCAATACTGGCATCGGCCAGGCAGTCTCAAATACCATAAAATACCAGCCAGGTGGCAATCCTAAGTGTAATGTGTAAATAAAGTTTTAAAAAAAAGTTTAAAAAAATTACTATTATTATTTTTATTTTTTAAATCAATGAGCCTATTCCATGGGCATGGGCCTTTAGCTGCAGCTCCATCAGCCCCTATGTTAATCCGGCCCTGCCCTGGTGGTCCCATTGTGCTGCTGACTGCATTGCTCATGGTCCAACGGTGGAGTATTTAGTCCGCCCCTCCAGTGGGTGCAGACCACATAAATGCTGGTCCGGCTCTCGTGCAGTAAGTCAGAGCATTGCCAGTGGAAATTGAAGGCAGCATACTGAACCTGAACTTTTTGTTTAATACATTGTAATTTTTTTTAGTATATTGGCAAATTTGCAATATACTAAATAATGGTTTGGCCTGACTTGGGTCGTAGCTTGACAGGTGTTACTCCAAGGCCTGTTTGCAAAAGTGACCTTTGTGGCCCTGGTAGTTCCACCACTAGACCCAGATTACAATAGTATTATACAGTTCAGAAATTACGATTGCAACATGTATTAGACCACTGGAACAAAAGAATTAGTCAAAGCAATGCTAGTTTAAAAAGTAAAAAGAGAAAAATCTATTTATGAGACAATTTCAGGTACTTAAGCAGATCTTATAATATAAAAGGACACAGAGACACAAATAGAAAATTACAGTTCTATTGATCAAAATGGCAGTAAAAGTCAATAGTTTTTACAAACATTAAACCAAGGGAATAACATTAATATAGAAAAGGGATACTGAATCAAAGCTATAATTTATAATAAAGGCATCGAAGTACATTTTTCTACTAAAAACGTCCTGGCATGTAAACAGTTAAACTGGAATATTTTTATTTTCGTCACTCATTGGTAAATTATCTTCTGAACAGGCAAATGCTGTAAGATATTAAATAGAATGGCAGATGGTTCTAGTAATATTTCAATTAATTATATAGACCAGTGGTTCCCAAACTTTTTAGGTTCAAGGCACCCTTAATATTTCAGTATTTTTGCAAGGCACCCAAGTCAAAATTTCTAGGTTGCAAATCTGTACAGCGCTGCGACATTAACTGGCGCTTTAGTGTAATGTACAGTATTGGTGTTTAAAGGGGTGCTTGTATATAGTTATTGTGTTTTAATACAGGGGTATGTTTGTATGTAATGTTTGTGTTTGATTGCAGGGGTGTGTCTGAATGTAATGTTCACTTTTAAATGCAGATGTACATTTGTCTGAAGTATTTGTGTTGAGTGAAGGGGTGTGTTTGTATATATATTTTTTAGTTTGAAAGCAGGGGTGTGTGTATGTAATATTTGAGTTAGATTGCTAATATGTTGTGCTGGTGTTTGACTGCTTGGATGTATGCACATACACTACCACATACATACATACATACATTTACACATATATTCATGCACATTAACACACAGATGCATATAAATACACCGACACATACACACAAATTCATATAGACACCATCACATACACACATATAGATACACACAGAAACATATACACATATAGATACACACAGACACATACACACACATGCACCCTGACACACACAGACATTGATACATGCCCACACCATTACACAGAAGCACACTGACATATATATATATATAAATACACACACACACACACACACACTCACTCATAGTTGCAAAGTTACATAGTTACATAGCTGAAAAGAGACTTGCGTCCATCAAGTTCAGCCTTCCTCACATTTGTTTTTTGCTGTTGATCCAAAAGAAGGCAAAAAAACCCAGTTTGAAGCACTTCCAATTTTGCAACAAACTAGGAAAAGAAATCCTTCTTGACCCCAGAATCACTCATATGCATACACACACTCATACGCACACAAACTTATACACACACTCACACTCATACACACACACACACTCACTCAAATTCCTACACACACTCACACATATACAAGTGATTTAAAAAAAAAAAATCTCCAGCCACCCTCCTGTCAATTTACCTTATGTGCCAGGAGGGTGGCTTGGAGTACTGCTGCTGGTGGGAGTGAGGGGTCTGGAGCTCTTCGTGCTCCTCTCCCCTCACGCTTCGGCTGCCTCCCTGCAGGATGCTGGGAGGATGTGACAGGCTGACATTTCCTCAAAGCCGGCCGACATTACAGGGGTCCGGTCGCGTTCTTAAAGGTCACGTTCTTAAAGGCCCCTGTTTCTCAGTAATTTTTCCCAGGTGCTATAATCATTTCGCGGCACCCCTATGTGCACGTCCAGGGTGCCGCGGAACACAGTTTGGGAACCGCTGATATAGACAAAGGAATATTCTGTTAGTGTACAAGCAACTTTAGAATAAATAGAGGAGCATTTAATTAATAGAATAGGCATAGGTTTAGTACCTGAAATAGACAATTCATTTTTTGTTAGAATTTGAAGAACAAAATATTAACACCTTAACAAACGCATTGATTTGGTTTTATCCAGCATACATTTTGGCAAGAGTCCCTTGGACAGACATGATAAATAGTTCACTGAGCAGACATGAAGGTTCTGGGGTAGCCCACTGAGATGGCATAAAATATGTAGATTAGCACATTGAATAGGGATTATGATGCCTATGAAAGTTGTGATGTGCGATTACTAATTCAGAGAGGGATCTGAACTTTCTGATCTAAACAACCAATGATTGCCTCAAAAGCAAACAACTGAGATAATGTCTCTTTCATGGTCACTGGGTAAGGCACAGAATTAAAGCTACAAATATATACATATTTACATATACAATTAGTCATGGTTGTTGTCATTCTGCTCTTTGACATTCCCACCTCACTCTGTACATTATAAATAACAAGATTATTTAAAAAGAATAGTAACCTTTCCAAATTAATCTTTTATCATTTTATTTTAATAAAGTTATTTCTGGATCTCATAAAACAGTTTTGTGTCTGCCAAGAAAGGTAGCGTTTCCTTTGAACCCTTCATAGAAGCTAGGGCAACTATGTTATATAGGGGTCTGACTAACACCTCGACTTTATTTAGTTTGGGATAAAACCATTATAGAATAAGGAATTTGTTACGTTTACCAATCTATGAGGACATCTTTTGCTTTCAATTCTAAACACAAATTTAGAATCCATGACTTTTTGACTCTTTGACTCTCCCACACCCATCTAATTAAATCTACAACGTAATGTATCATATATTTGCCTGTTTTCATTTGCTGTAACATATTAAACATAACATTCTATGAATTACTGTTCTATCTTCCCTAGCGTCACATATACTGTACACATATAGTTTACATATATTTCCTCCTGTACATGTTCTATCTATGACTCCTACTTTACCACTGTTAAATGATCCATGAATAATGCCATGTATTCTGCATAACACTTTTTAAAAGCTAACTTTTCTATTGGTTGACATAAAGCTTCCTGATATCTAGAACACATCTAGCTCAAAAATAGAGTTTTTCACCTCTTTTTGACTTAAAAAAAATAATAATTTTGCTCTTCCCTCTTCTTCATATTCTTTAAGTATAACATTTTTAACCGCATTCCTTTGTCATAGCTAACATTGATATTGTTTTCTGATGTAACACACTACTTTAGTACATTGAAGTAAAAAAAGTAGGATAAGATTTCATTCCTCTGCTCCTCAGCCATGTAATGCTGTGTTATAGAGCTTAGTCCAATGTAACCTAAATTAACAATGTTATTTAAAATGCCATAACTTGTACATGATACCGATTTTCTGGATCACTTTAAAAGTTCAGCTTAGAGGGACGTTTTGTCACATAGTAGATGGCTTACACCATCCTCCTCATTATTTTATGCTCTGCATAGTAGCCTTTCAGTCAAACAAAACCCTCCTACCTACAGCCACACTCTACTACTCGCATTTCCTTGAAATCATTGTTTATCGTCGGCACACCATTATCCATGTAGAGTACTTGTATAGACTCTAGCTTTGTGGGTACACAGCAGGCTCTTCTTATTTGTTTTGGAAACTTTTGGTGCATCAGTGTCTGCACAAGTGCATGTTTTGTTGGTGTCCAGTTATCTGTCAAAGGATTATAGCATTCCCCTTTGCATTCCCCAGCATCATAACTCTTGGGCCCTATTATCCATGAATCCCAGCCAATGTCCTTGAAATTCACTATTAGTTGTGTTCTTTTGCAGTAATTGCCTTCCACACTACGTTTGATCCTTCCTTTGCTCTCTGGCAAGTTTTTATTCTCTCCTTTGTATTCTTCATATTTAAGAGCATGGTTTTTGGAAACGGTTTCCAAGCTACTATGCTCCTCATGAAGTATTAGGTCCCTAATCTCAGTGCTGGATTCCTTCACCCTGTTACATTTATCATCTGAAAAAACAATGAGAAAGGGTGGGTGATTACTACTGATGGTGGCACCAGAACTTGACGTTTCATTGAATGATTCAAGTGGGGGTTTCGTTTTTAAAAAGACCTCCAATTTGTTATTTTCTATCTCAGAATTCATCCATCTCTTTACTGCACTGGTCACATCTATTGTCATCCACTGGCTTCTCTTAAATTCCTTGGATGCCAGGAAAGAGTTTGGTTCTTTTTTCTTCTCAGTAGTCTCCATATGTAGGACATCATGTAAAAGCAAGTAGCCGGTATAGCTTTTACTGAGTGATACATACATTTTTAGCTCTGCTTGAGTCACTTCCTCATACCGTGGTATAGACACATTGAACAACAAAATGTGGCTTTGGGTGGAAATTTCCATAGATGAAGACAGCAGAATATCTACAGGAGAAAATAAAAACGTGTTACTTTTACAGCATTAAATCCCTTCATTTAATATACACCATCATACTCTATTACATAGTGTTTAAAGGGTTACCCCAAACAAAAAAAAAGCACGGTATCTCCTAAAAAGGAAAGAAAGACTAAACTTACCTGTAATCCCATGCCAAGGTTTAGTTTTGCCTGCAGCAGACTTCTCTGGTGGCGTTGTTCCCCCAATGTTCCATAGGACTGGCTAAGAGAAGCACTTGGTCAACAAGGAGAGGGGTGTCATGCCACCATTGGATGTCTGTTGCCAGCATACTATGAATGACGATGGCAGACACCCAATATGCACAGAATTAACATTAGCCACCCCAAAACTCATTCTGGATTGGCTAATGATGCTGCCAGATGAGGCATTTAATATCTAACAGTAAACCTCTTTAACTCTGTATGTATAGCATTTCTCAGTGACTCCAAGCACAGTGTCCCCTTAAAACCCTAACTATTCACTACAACTCCACCTGTTCTATTAACTTCTTCAGTTTGAGGAACATACTATACCTATAGTTCCAATGACTTATGCTAAGCCTTTAATTAGCCAAACATTAATTATTAAAGGGACAGAATATGCACACAGACCACTTAATCGCAATGAAAGTGTCTTGGTGCAGTGATGTTGTGCTCCAGCAATGTAAAACATTGACCTTCACAGATAAGGCAATGTTTACACTGCAGGGCTAAACATTAGTCACTAGATGTTGACCTTGAGAGCTTTGACCTTGAGAGCTTTCCTGGCACTACAGTATTCCTTAAATGGAACAAATCAACACTATTAGCTTTGACTTTGTAATTTATTTTATATATAAAAACCTGTCCTTATGAAAACCCATGGAAACCTCAATCCAAATATCTCAATGCAAATATACCATTTACCGTAAACTAATTTAGGTTGACAAATACTATAGCTATTGCTGCCTCCCAAGTGTAGTCTGAGTTTGAGCGAAGGGCTAATTTTCGTCTGCCCCATTAAGAGTTAATTCATTTGTAGGGATTCATGAGAATATCCAGTTTTGTCTTACTAAACAATTTGTGGATAGTTAATACAATGCTAAACAAAAATCTGCACACCAGTCAAGCCATAAGACTTGCTTTTCCCACAGAAATCCCAAATCAGCAGTGATGTTACAACCGCAAAGGATTCTGGGTGGGCATATGCAAATTAGTTTAACAAAGAATCACATTTTTGCCTCATTCCATTTTAAACATGGATTCCTTTTAATTTGTGTTTGCAGTATACAACTGCTTGGAACACAATTTAGGATAAGATGCAAAACCAGTGAACCACTCATGGACAGCTGTTTCGTTGTTAATGCAACTCTTCAGCATGAGGTTGGTTACTGGTTTGCTTATGGAGGCTTGGTAGTGCTTGGGAAGCAAGATCCAAATAGATTATGGTGGGGAAAAATTGTGATTGAAAACCCCTTCCACCTGAAGTATGTGGATAGTTAATACAATGCTAAACAAAAATCTGCACACCAGTCAAGCCATAAGACTTGCTTTTCCCACAGAAATCCCAAATCAGCAGTGATGTTACAACCGCAAAGGATTCTGGGTGGGCATATGCAAATTAGTTTAACAAAGAATCAC